AACAGTGTCTTCTCAACATAATGACACAATGATTAAAGAAGAAAATAAATACTTACCTGTACTTCTCTGTATTGCAGATCTCTGGCTGCCATTGGTATCCACACACAAATTTACACATTAGTTAATCTGTTTGCGCAGACAGTACGCAAATATGTGGCCTCGCGGGGGTGGCCTTGATGCCAAGAATCCACATGTGTACCCAAATGTAAACAAACCAGTGTCGAGAGCACGCTCCAGGCACAGTTACTGGCGCCCAGTGGCATCGCTATGGGGGTGCAGGGACAGCGAACTGCACCTGGGTGACACCAGGTTACTAAAAAAGAATCGTGAACAGCATGTTCACCAAAGTGGTTGCATGAATGGACCATGCGGTAAACCATCACACATTAAGTGTTTATAAATACAACTTTATTATGTATCAAAATGTAAATTCAATGATTGCCAGTTAAACACAAAAAAACTATTTAACACCAATATCCATCACCTCACACCAGACAACGTTGTCTGTAACACCATTAAAATATAAACATGACGTAATGGTATGGCCATAGCTATTTTTATAATTCTCAGCACAACAGCGACAACCTCCATCTGTCAGGGTATAGATACCACCATCTGGGCTAACACCACCGGGATGTAATAATCTAGACTTTAATGTCTATTTTAGTCCAATGATTCCTGGATAAGGATAAATAACAGTAAGTCATTAAATCCTATTTCAAATAAGATGGTATACTCAGTCCCACAGTATAGACCACTGGATATGTAACACAGATGAGTGGAATGCAAGGCAAGCAACTTTTGGCATAGTTGAGAAAGGTAAAGTTTGCAACTAGTAAGTAACGGCAAATGTTCATATATGCAGAAAGTTTAGGTGAGTGTTGGCAATTGAATACGGGTTCCTGGTATTACAAAGATGGAACCAAAACAGCCAGTTGTATATATTAACAGAGCGTTGTCACTCACCATCAGTCTATGGCCATTGTGCCAAATTCGCTCACCCTTTTCCTAGTGAAGTTCCATCCTCAATGCAGTGTCATGTCACATATTTGTATATATTGACAGAGCATGGTCACTCAACCTCAAGCTGTTGCAAAAGTATATGTTCGCTCACCCTTTCTGCTCCGTGCTCAATGTGATGCCGTGTCATAGGTTGCCACTGAGGGCACATCAGTAGCCTCACGAATGCAGCTTAGATGCTATGCCAATGTGCCGCCATGCATGTAATCCACATGGTAGTAAGCTCACATCCAAAGCATCTCCCATCAATGGTATATGTTACCCTGATGGATCATGGCCATCCGTGACGCACCCCCTGCATCCTCATAGCGTCACGGCCAGTAGGGGGCCCCATGAGAGACTCATTGCTGGATCTAGGGCATGATGCCGATCTGTGTTGCGTCCCCTGCAAAAGCCATCCGCCCCCCCATTCCGCCTCCATCACGGCTGCCCAGCTGTCATACTCCTCTTAGGGCCGAGACACAGCATAATGTGGAGGGGGCAGGGCACCACAATCGCTAGCGCCAAGCATCCAATTACTGCCCCACTGCTATCTCACGGACCCACATCATCTCTTCCTGTCTGTCACAAAGGTCCCCTTGGTTCCTCCCTAAAATAGCCAGATGTAAATTAAAGAAAGAAAATCTGAAAGGAGCAGGGCAAAGGAGTGGGAAGGATAAAGGTAAAAGCAGAAAGTTCAGGCTGGGCAGTATGTATTTATTCATTTCAGGTACTTCTATAGCGCCGTCAATTTATGCAGTGCTTTACATACATATATTGTACATTCACATCAGTCCCTAACCCTCAAGGGGCATACAATCTAAAGTCCCTAACCTACATTCATATACTAGGGCCAATTTAGAAAGGAGGCAATTAACCTACCAGCATGTCTTTGGAGTGTGGGAGGAAACCGGAGTACCCGGAGGAAACCCACATAGTCACAGGGAGAACATGCAAACTCCAGGCAGGTGGTGCCATGCTTGGGATATAAACCAGTGACCCTAGTACTGCCAGGCGGAAGTTCTAACCATTTAGCCACTGTACTAGAGAATGATCACAGATTGTAAGATAAGTCTCTCTCTCTCTTTTACCCCCCCTCACTCCCTCTCTCCCACCCCCCCCCGCCACCTCACTTCCAATGGCTCCTGCTGCTGTGTCTCAGCCAATGAGGAGGAGAAGACACAGGACAGATGAGTTTCCTGTGCACATACACACCAAGATCGAGCTCACGTGGGTATTGGGGTGGCAGGGGGGACACACAGAAGATTTGTTACCTTCAAGCATACAGTGCCTGAAGGTAAAAAAAAAAATAAGCCTTTACAACCACTTTAAGCACCTGGTGTTGACACGTCTGGCTTTTTCCAGCTACAGGACACTGCTGTCTCTGCTGCTTGCAGAAATCAACCTCACCTCCTACCCCCTGCGGGGCACAGGAAGGCATGCATTAATTTAGCAGACAAACTGACTGCTTTTCACACTATTTACTTCAATAAAACAACACACACAAAAATAATATTCTGCCCTCCACTATAATGACTAAAGGCAATTATTTTTGTTTTGTGTATGGTGGAGAGGGACTACAACAACTGTCAAGTTTTATTACTGCCTGTGTCCTGATTATGGAGATTCACCCTCCTGGTTTATCCAGTTTCCCATTATCACTGAGAGTAAAAGTGAATACATTCCCAAATTTTGGGGTGCCATCAGAATGGTAATATAGGGGAAATCATCCAATGGGGACATCAGTTCTGGTGGCCCTGGTGACATCCAGGTATTTCCTCTCACTGTTTTAGTTATGGGACAGGAAGTAAAGGGAAATCTCCCCAACAGGAGAGAGATGGAAAAAAACTGAAGGAGGTTATAACCCTCTTAGTCTTTCAAAAATGAAAAATAAAAATCTTCCTTTAGTTCTGCTTTCACTAAACTGCCTATTACTATTGAAGTTGCATTCTTGTAGAGACTGCTAGCCTCCTAACGCTACAGCTCTTTAGTCAGCGAATCATAAATTCTTTCTTGGAAACACAGGAAGGATTTTTTTTCCCTGCAGGAGCAAATTGGATCATGCTTTGCTGTTTTTTTTGCCTTCCTCTGGATCAACTGTGGGTATAGGATTATACCTTTTTTTTTTCTTTATGGTTGAACTGGATGTCTTTTTTCAGCAAGACTAACTATGTAACTATGTAAATTGATTTGTAAGTTGTTACATTTCACCTAAAAATTAGCTATCATTAGTGAAAATGTTAATGGAAAAATAAAAAAGGCCATTTTATACGATGTTATTAAATAAAGCCCACATTTATTCAAAGGATAACATTATTGCAATAAATCATAAAACCAATATTACACTTTCATGATTAAGATTTTAATATAAAATATTAACATGCAGGAAACCTTTGTAATTCAAATACAAAGCTTAACATGACTCCAGTTAATCATTTTATTCTAAAGGTGGCTGTTGGAATAATTTAGTTGTGTATGATTTATTAATGTAGCTCTTTTTGTACTTTTCCCCAAGTATAAAGGATAAACAATGCATTCCATATATGTAGGCTTATCATAGGACGAAGTCTTAGAATAACAACTAGGGACAGTAGCTCTGAAAGCTCTGCTCATATGATGGAATGATCTGATTCCATACAATTATCCATATAAATAGCAGTCGTATGGTTTTCACAAACACTCTCAAATTACAGATGTGGTGCGTGATGTGACTGTCTTTTATTACCTGTCCACGAAACTGACGAGTGAGAGAGTTAGATGTGTCTGTAACATTCAGCATTTCTTCCTCTTCTGCATTCAGCCCACAAGTCTTATTCAGCTCTCATTATATCTATCCTAGTAATCTTCCTCTCAGTAATGAGGCTTCAATCATCATAGCTGTCAAAAATAGTAAGATACTGTGGATCAGTATATGTTTGTCTTAGCAGATACTCAGCGGAATGAAGTACTGAGGAGACAAGCTTTATGACCCATCAAGTATTCAAGGAGGAACAAGAGAATAAGGTTGGGTTCTCCATGATGCACCTTAATTTGCTGGTGGCCTTACCCATATTTTATTATGTAATTTCAGGAGTTTTTGTTCAGCGGGAATGCGGTGGAATGCAGTTCCGGCACCTCCCAGCACTGATTATATGTAATGGCAAGGGGTTCTGGGGTGTCTATTAATTCTGGTTGCTGGTGGTCTATTGTTGCTGGTGGGTATATTTTTTTGCATGGTGGTCAATTGTTGCTGGTGAGGGATCTATTGTTGGTGGGGGTCAATTGTTGCTGGAAGGGATCTACTGTTGAAGGGTGGTCTACTGTTACTGGTGGTCTATTGTTGCTGGAAGGCATCTATTTTATGTGGCAGTTTATTGTTACCAGGGAGATCTATTGTTGCTGGTGGGGGGATCTATTGTTGCTGGAAGGTATCTACTGTTGAGTTAGGAGTCTATTGATGCGGACTGCTGGGAAATCTGTTGTTGCTGCCAGGGGTCTATTGTTGCTGGGGTCCTTTGTTGCTGGGGGTGGAATCTATTGTTGCTTTGAATCTATTGTTGCTGGGGGGTATATTGCTGATGGCTGCATGGTATTTATTTGACTGCTTTTCTTGTTATCATTAACAAATTACATACAAATTACATAGCACCACAAAATGATACATAGGCTTTGTGTTCTCTAAAAGAGGCGGTACTGGGAGGTAGGTAGGGAGTGGGACCAAGGGACAGTGCTCAGAAGTGGGTACGGGGTGGAGACAAGAAGTGACTCAGAAGTTCCTGCACCTATTCTCTGAGAAAAAAAGCCCTATGTAATGTACTGAAGAGCTTAAAGGAAACCTGTACCAAGCAGGAGTAGAGGCTGCCTTTGCTGACCTCCGCTTTAACCCCCCTGGCGGTATTCCCGAGTGTAGCTCAGGGTAAAGTTTCAGCACCACAAGCGGTAACCCTGAGCTACACTCGGGAATACCTTGCAGCGTTGCTCGGGGATCTCTTCTTCACTTACCTTGTCCTTCGCTCCTGCGATGTCCCCCCTGCAGTGGGACACTGCAATGTCCTCTGGCCGATGCCGGCATCCGTCTTCTGGGTTCCGTTCCCTGCGACGTCAGGACGTACGGGGATGGAACTGGCGAGAAATTTAAAAATGTCAAAAAGTGACATTCACAAAATACACTAAAATCACATAGTAAAACATTACTGTCCTGTGCCCTGCCTGCATTTTTACTGTTCTTTCTGCCTTGAAACTGAGAAATGTCCATGTCGTCCAAAAAGCGTCCCTTTAGGTCAAAATCGGTTTTAGACCAGCTAGAGAACAGCGATAGTAAATTAGAACCACTTGCAGAATTGAGTGATAATGATTCGTGGGGAAATTCGTCATCGGACACTGAAAACGATTTTGCGACTTTGCTCAGTGATGTGCGAACTTGGCGTTATATTTAAAATTTCAGTGTTTTTGGTTTGATTATATTATTGAATTAAATGTATTATTATTTTTTAGGATTATTTATTACATTATAATTTATGATTTTGTGTTTCAAATTTTAACATGTTTACTAGACTCTTGTTCAAACAGATTTCAGTGAGTTATTCCTAAAAATTACAGGCCTACAATAAAAAAACTACATATTTCCATGCAAAAAAATGTACCGCTTTGAGCACAGAAATACCAAAATAATTATGCAGACCAGGAGTTTGTATTGATTGTAAAACCTCACGTTTTTTCTAAATAAAAAAAAAAAATTGTTATACTTATCTGCTCTGTGCAATGGTGTTGCACAGATCAGTGACTTACCTTTCCCTTCCAGTGCTCTTTGCTTCTTCTTCCTGTGGGTGCACCATAGTAAGCTGTGTACTAAAGGGGTACCCATGCAGGCACTCTCCCGAGCTGGGCTGTGTGTGTCCATTGACACACTCATTGTGACTCAGCCACGCCCCCACTCCCTCCTCACAGGATTTGACTGACAGCAGCAGGAGCTAATAGCTCTCACTGTTGCCTGAGTCTCCTATGAGTCCAGGAGTTGAATGGAGAAGATGTGCAGCCGGGACAGCACTGGATCATTGACAGGATTCAGGTAAGTGTTTTGGGGAGGTAGGGGGGACAGTTAGTGGGAAGTTTTTACCTTAATGCAGAGGTATAAAACACTTTAAAGCCTAAGTTTAGTTACAAATTAAATTCAAATTCAGCATTAGGGACAGCACTTACGTTTAATGAAAAGTGTCCCTTGTACTGATGCCAGCAGTCCTAGCTGAAATCTTCCATCCTCAGCCCACTCACACCCCTGCAGCAGTAATCATCTGGTGCTGCCAGTATTGATATAGCCGCCAATGTTGATATAGCCGCTGGACCTGTCATAGGCACTCATCAAAAGTGCTGAATATGCCCACCCTTTCCTTCCTTCATTCACATAAGCCGTAATTCTATCAATGAAAAGTGCTCTATGAATGGAGGATGGGCAGATGTGTGAAAGAAATGCACAAGTGATTAAGACTATCAGTAATAACCAGCCATGAGATAGGTTGTAATATTTAGCAATATCCTATACATTTACATGTATGACATGCAAGGAAGGGTGAAAGCACCTGAGTAGGACAACAGTAACACCCACAAATTTGGCTTTTGGCAAGGGAGGAGATGACAGGCAGTAATGGCAGAGGTAAAGAATGGATTTTCTGAAAAATCATTCAGAGTTTCTTTGGAGAAGTAGATGCAAGTCTTTCTGCATGAATCGGTAGATCAGCATTTCATTTTTCAGTTCTCATAAGATGGCTTCTTTTAAGAAATCTTTTGCAAAGTATATCCATTTAGTCTGAAAACAGAAATAAATATTCTTCTGGGTGGTGTTTAGAAGGGTATATGTTTTTTCTTTTGAATGTCAAATAGCTCGGTATAATTGAGGCTTATTCCCAGCAAATGCTACTAAAAATATAAGCAGCATTGTGTCCTGTTTTATCGAATAGGCCTGAATAGCATAAAATGTATAAAATACTTTGGTAAGTCTTTCTTCTGTTACTGAGGGCCAGATATACTATTAGTGTGTGATCAACACTTGCCTTTGTGGCAAATCAATTACTTTGGATGGAGCAGCACTGCTTCACTGTTTCAATAATTATGCCTATACATAGATACATTCATTTTTTAAAAACATGCTTTATGAAAAAGAAGTAATTTACAGATCTAGTTTGATAGAGTGAATGAGATAGGAAATCCCATGTGCCTGTTGAATAATCCTTATAGAATGTGATTTAATAATCACAGGCTGATAAGAAACATCTTGAAATGATCAACATAATGAAAATGGATTAACTCAGAAATCAGCAATTGAGACATGTAATCCAGTTACTCCGCTTTCTCATAATCAGTAGTGTATAAATCTTCAGAGTATTTAGCACATCATTTAAAATATTTGCTTCCTCCACCTACTACTAACATTAGTGCAACTGATGCCCACATGTTGTGTACCAGCCTATGTGATGTGACCATTCAAGCATTGCTTGAAACAATTTGGTGTTGCATAATTTAAATACAAACTTGAGTAAAAAATTTGAAAATGATTAGGGCTTGAAATGTTTGTTTGGATCTTCTGTATAATGCAACACTATATTAGAACAGGCATAGAAAAACACTGCAATGCCTTTTAAAATATTGCCAAAGTGTATGGGCATTACAGTGGCTAAATGGTTAGCACTTCCACCTGGCAGTACTAGGTCATTGGTTTGAATCCCAACCACAGTACCACCTGCCTGGAGTTTGCATGCTCTCTCTGTGTCTGCATGGGTTTACTCCAGTTTCCTCCCACACTCCAAAGACATGCGTGTAGGTTAATTGGATCCTGTCTAAATTAGCCCTAGTGTGTGTATGAATCCAAGTTAGGGACCTTATATTGTACACCCCTTGAGGGTTAAGGACTGATGTGAATGTACAATATATATGTACTCTAGACTCCAATCTGTCCTTCCAGCCCCATGTCTAATCGCTGGCAAAGTTGTAAGCCGTGTACCGGGGTGGGCTCCCCAGGATATAGTGAAGTCACGAATGAGGAAAGCAACCCCAACACCAGCTTTTGGCACAACAGAATTTTACTTGCAAATAAACACAACCACAAATGCTGGAAACATACAATAAATTTACACACACCCAGCCCAAAGGCTGAGACCCTTGTACTGCACAGCACGGTGCCTCCTGATGGATGAAGATAGAAGGTGTAGTAATTTACCTACTGGTGGGCACAAATAAGCTGACACACCTTACCTGTTATTACCCTAAAAGAGCAGGAATCAGTGTATGGGTGTATGGTATGGGCTAGCCTGCGGTGCAGCACAACAGCTTACAATCTTACACAAATCTACAGTATTCCCTCTCCCATAACTGGTCCTGTAGCACATGCCTGAGTATTCCTTCTGAGCAAAACGGCAGTCTGGCTTGAGTTTGTAGGATTTTATCAGCTCTCCAATGTGAAATGTCATTTTAAGTTGTGGAGTCCTTCCAATAATCAGTAACAACACTTGTGACCTGACACAAACAGAGACCCTAACTAACTAACTATAGGCCTGGACTCAGTCTCAAGGCGCCAACACTGAAATGAGGTGCGTGCATGATCTTACCGACCCGGGTCTGCTTTTCATCCGCTGGTGACTCTGAACAGAACAAATGTCTCTCCAACAAGCATGCGGTCTCGCCGTATATGTTGCTTAGTTCCTCTGCTCTCATCAGCCTTCCTGGCAGCAATCTCATCAGCATTCCTAGCAGCAATCTCATCAGCTTCCTGGCAGCAATCTCATCAGCATTCCTGGCAGCAATCTCATCAGCTTCCTGGCAGCAATCTCATCAGCTTCACTCAGCTGCAGCTCTGGTTACTGAGGGACGCTTTCACACCTGGATGTCATCAGATTTTCAGCTCACACAGCCACAACATGGCTTCTCTCTCTCCTTCCTGTTCTCTCCAACTCTGTGTGCAAAACCCCACCTCTTCATGAATATACAAATATCTATGCAGTCTGAGGCTGTGTTAGAAAAACAGTGACATCTTGTGGCTAAACCACAGAATGTCAGTCAAAACATTAATTTACTTCCACACAAACAGTGTTCAAACAATGAGAGCTGTTTCCCCATCTCACAAATTCATGCAGGCTCCACCTCCGCAACATCTCCAAAATACGTTCGTTCCTAACCCCAGACACTACTAAACAACTCATTCACTCGCTTATTATCTCCTGACTCGACTACTGCAACTCCCTTCTCACCGGCTTACCTCATCACAGACTATCCCCGAGTTCAGTATCAGAACTTCTCCAGGTCTTCCCCCATCCTCTGGAACTCACTACCCCAATCCATCAGACTGTCACCTACCCTCCTCACCTTTAGGCGCACCCTGAAAACCCATCTCTTCAGGGAAGCCTACCCTGCCCTCACCTAACAGCCGATCTCCTCCACTCCTCCTACCACTCCATCTCCCACAGCCATTTCCTCCTGTACCACTATCCCCTCCCTCCCTCATCGATTGTAAGCTTCATGGAGCAGGACCCTTGAACCCCTCTTGTATTGTATTGTTACTGTATTGTCTCAGGTACTGTCTCCCACTATAATGTACAGCGCTGAGCAAACTTTTTGGCGCTATATAAATACTGTATAATAATAATATATGTGAAGTGCTGCTTAAATGGACAGCGCTATGCAAGTACCTGAAAATAAATAAATAAGTATATGCACATTACATTTTTTTGCAGCAGCTTCAAATTTAGGATCTTTGTTGTTGGCAGTTATTTTATTATTTTTAAAAGTTACCTTCTCAACTGCTGTTTTATCTCATGTAATCATTATATTAAGGGATGTTAAATACTTTCTGAAAAGTTTTTATTTCTGACTGCCAGTCAGTGCCAGATTTATAAGGGAGCAAATGGGGCAACTGCCCTGCCCCCCCCCCCCAATACAAAAAATAAAATAATATAAAATATATAATTAAAAAAAATTACTTTCTTTTATTAAATGTATCTTGGGAACTAATATTTTGCTGGTCATTATCTGTAAAACAATTTTACCCTGGACTGGTGTAATAGTGATGCTGGGTGCAATTACTAAAAAACAAGTCATATACATGCACACAATCAACATGCAGTCGTGCAGGTACTTTAAATCAGCATTTAAACCATTACATGTTCTACGCATTGTGAAAGACCATCTACCAAATTAATATATGCCCTGGCACATCAAAGCATTCACCCGGCACTCCAAGAAATAACAGAATCCAACTACAATATTCTTGCACTGTCAAAACCTCCACTTTTATTATCACACGACACAGGAGGATATATCTTATAGTCATCACGATCTGCATAATAACACACACCAATAATAATGTGAGCATTACAGTATGAAATAGACACATCATTTGACAGCACAGCATAGAAATAATACACTACAGAAGCTATGTGGAAACTGGGAGGAACAAATCCCATCGGAACCAAACTGTACAGGGGGTCACGGAGAAGCCGTAGGCGTGACCAGTCGAAGAGCCAATATAGCCTTGGTAAAAATCCCACTGTCAGAGCGTCCTCTGGCCACTAGGGGAGCTTCTACTGGTCTTGCCTAGACCTCCGCCTTATAAACCCTTTTTCTGGAAGCGGTCCACAGGAGGGGCTAGCCAAAGGGTTCGGCGAGGTTAGCAGTCATGTTCAACCACCATATTCGTTACCTGAAAAGTCACACTTTTGCTTCTTATCTACCCCAAAACCTCTCTTCTTCTCCCCCAGATTTAAGGATTTCTAACTTAGATGTCCTTCAACAGGTTTTTATCTCCTAATGTTTGGTAGCTCAAGTGAACTACCCACAAGGACGGTAGCCTATGATTGTGTGTGTGTGTGTGCACATATGACTTTAGAATGACATTGTGTCATGCATTTTGAAAATTCAGTTCACAAAGTACTCTATAAAATGGCAGGGTGAACCTCCTATTGCTGTTTTTAACTGGGGACTCCTGTAGGCGTGGCCCCTCAGTGTTCATACCCAGGGCTGCTAAATGCAGAAATTTAAACTGGAAATTCTTAATATGTAGATTTATAATCTCAGAGTAAACATATGGATACTGTAACTCATGAAGACCCTGACAATATGGAACCAATTCTCATAGGAGTGACTGACCTCTATTGCAGAGCGTGGAAGCCAGGAAAAGGTCAGGTCTATGGCCATGTCTCTTGTGAAGATTCCATTACTCCTTGTATCTGTATGCTTCCTGTATGTTCTCAGCTAAGTAATCCAGCTGGTCAGAGGTAAGACAGCCTCAATCAATGTTTCCAGCTCCCTGGAATTTACTATGACAGCATGATTGTTATTATTAGATTATAAGAAGATGAACATTTTTTGACATTGCAATAATGGAGGTGAATTCTGTACTGAGAACAAAGTATTTCATTAGTCAAGGGTATGTAATAATAAACCATTTGTGAGTTGGTTTATCATAAATCAAGAAAGGGCTCTGCTTGTAGGCAGCAAAGAAAAAGAAAGCAGCTTTCCCGGAAAAGTGTGTCATTTATACATCTGTCTTAAATCATAAACATTAAAGAGAGATCTTGAAACTATACAGTGTAGATTAGGTTAGTAGGATGTTTTGAGAAAATGGTAAGTTTACTTGATATGGGATCACCAGATAAAAGTATTTGATTGAATAGCTCACTAGACCTGGATACTTGGCGGAATGCGGCCCACATGTTATCAAAGATTTCGATTAATACTGCTCTGATTGAAGCCAATTATAAACCGCTACTTAGCTGGTATCTGGTTCCTACGCGCCTCACTAAAATATACCCCTTCAGTATCACCTAGTTGCTTCCAACACTGCAGACAAGAGGGCACTATGTTCCATATCTGGTGGAAGTGTCCGGTTGTGAATAGGTTCTGGATCCGAATGTTTAATTTCATCTATTCGGTAACAGGAATTAATATTTGTAGATCACCGGAAGTGCCCTTATTTCATTTGCTTCCCGCTGATGTTCCCAAAAAATCGACTAAAGTAATTCTTTACCTTTTACTGGTGGCATGCATTACCATAGCTAGAAGTTGGAGACAATTACTGATCCCGCTAGACGGGGTTAAATAAAAACTAAATTGTAAAATGGTAAACGATAAACTTACATGCATTGTCAATAATGATGTTTCTAGATTTGAGGTGACCTGGGAACCATGGATCAGATATATCTCCATAACCTAATATTACTGCGGCTGACCCTCTCCTTCTCCCCTCCCCCCCCTTTTATTTTTTCTTCTCTCCCCTCCTCCCCCCTTTTTTCTGTCCTATTCTGGATCTTTTCTTGTGATTTCTCCAATCTTAATCCTTTTTCTTTATGAATTGGTTTACATACTGTTGGTAAAATGTTTATGGCAATGCCTTTGTTCAATGACTGCTCATACGTTTGCTGCCTGGTGGGGATGGTAGTTTCTGTATATAATGTCATTGACTAATATTTTTGTTTTTCATGTGCCTATATGCTCTCTGAATATGTTTATGCACACCATTTCTCCATGTAGGTGAAAATTGTTTCTATTTTCGTGTACACCACTGTATACCAATTTTCAATCCAAAAATACTGAAGTATAAAAGTATTTGATTGAAAATGGGGTGTCTTCTGTTGATCTGCCCTAATATCTACACTATATTGCCAAAGGTATTGGGACGCCTGCCTTTACACGCACATGAACTTTAATGGCATCCCAGTCTTAGTCCGTAGGGTTCAATATTGAGTTGGCCCACCCTTTGCAGCTATAACACCTTCAACTCTTCTAGAAAGGCTGTTCACAAGGTTTAGGGGAATTTGACCATTTTTCCAGGAGCGCATTTCACAGTTCCTGCTCTAATTCATCTCAAAGGTGTTCTTTCGGGTTGAGGTCAGGTCTCCAAAATGTCTTGGTATGCTGATGCCTTAATAATTCCTTTCACTGGAACTAAGGGGCCAAGCCCAACTCCTGAAAAACTCCCAGCACCATAAACCCTTCTCCACCAAACTTTACACTTGACACAATGCAATCAGGGAATTACTGTTCTTCTGGCAGCCGCCAAACCCAGACACATCCATTGGATTACCAGACAGAGAAGCATGATTTGTCACGACAGAGAACATGTCTCCACTGCTCTAGAGTCCAGTGGCAGGATGCATTACAACGCTTTGCATTGCACATGGTGATGTAAGGCTTGGATGCAGCTGCTCGGTCATGGAACCCCATCCTTTGAAGCTTTCTACGTACTGTTGTTGTGCTAATCTGAAGGCCACACAAAATTTGGTGGTCTTTATCTATTGACTTTGCAGACAGATGGTGACTTCTGCGCACTGTGCGCGTCAGCATGCACTGACCCCTCTCTGTCATTTTACGTGGCCTACCATTTCATGCCTGAGTTGCTGTTGTTCCCAGTTGCTTCCACTTTGTTATAATACCACTAACAGTTGACCGTGGAATATTTAGTAGCAAGGAAATTTCACAGATGGACTTATTGTACAGGTGGCAACCTATCATGGTACCACGCTTGAATTCACTGGGTTCCTGAGAGTGACCCATTCTTTCACAAATGTTTGTAGAAGTAGTCTACATGCCTAGGTGTTTGATTTTATACACTTGTGGCCATGGAGGTGATTGGAACACCAGAATCCAATGATTTGGAGGGGTGTCCCAATACATTTGGCAATATAGTTTATATTGTATTTCTGCCACAAAATGGACACTTGCAGGAGAGTTGGTAAGGGAGCCCTCACTCAGCACCAACCTTTCTCCCTGCCCCTTACGTCATTACAGCATTTCAACAACATGTTGAAAACAATCATATAATTGGCACTAAAAGCTGTGATGGGTGGACAGAAGACATAAACAAACGAAGAAAAAAACCTTTATAGGTTTAAAATTTTGAGGATTGATGCTGCCCCCTACTAGTCTAGCCCTGAATTCTTGTTCAAATAAAAGCATTTTAGCTGTGCAAAAAAAACTGTATAAGAGAGAAACAGTGATGTCACAACAATTGCCCCTCCACAATTTCTGCGTTTTGTGGGCTGTCCAGAAAGCTTGGTTTTTATTTATGTATTGCTATCCCCAAAGGTGCCGCTGGTAATTTGGGTTCTCAGTTCTGCACCTCGACTCTAAGAACAACCTCAGCCCCTCTGACACACATGATTGAGTGAATTGTACTGCAATCACTTATAGGAACACAAGTGCAGATACCTTTAACTTAGTTGTGAATTAGCACCTGGAAATAGACTGTTTAGTGGTAAATGAACTCAATGTATTGTACAGATTAGCATAAATGGTGGCTTTAGCATAAATGAACACACAGATGGTAAGTTCAGACACAGTCTGCTCGACGGTATATTCACTATGCCAAAGCAGCTTAGAATAGAGTTCTGTACGACTAGACTGGAATCCACACATAAAGTCAGCAATAAACAGTTCATATAAGCATTGAAATGACTGTAAAGTCTTAAATGTGTTTTTTTTTTCTTAACAAATACCAAAAAGCTTTATACTTTCCTGCTCTGTGCAATGGCCTTGAACCTCCTTTTCTCAGGTCTCCTTGCCTGTTCTCTGGGCTCCTCCTCTTCTTGGTGTGCCACCATAGGAAGATGCTTCCTATCATGGCTCACCTGCATGCACTAAAGCAAAAAATGTTTAAGCTTTAGAACCACATAAGAATAATAATACCATAACTAATCTATAGTGCACTCTAGGAGAATGGCTAGGATATGGTGCAATGCCCCCTGAGAGGTACCTCTTAGCTTAAGAAATACCTGAAGGTCTCTGTGTAGCAGCTGTAAAAGGACAGTCTTTAGTCCTAACTCTTTAGTCAGCTAGCTTTGGGGCCCATCTGTACTGTTGGTGCACATGAGAATACTTACAGTCAGGCCTGCAGGCAGCAGTAAGGCTACTAGATGGCTGTATGCTCTGTTAATAAAGGGCTCAGTCTCTCTAGCAGCAGATAGTAAATCCCCACTCTCTGGTCTGTACCTAGATGACTCTGACTATCAGAACCCCCAAACTTAGCTCTTTAAATCCTGCTCAGACCACTGTTATGCAGTAGTGGTGGTGCACACTGAACTGCGATGTGCACTTGTCATTCTCCCTCATGGCAAGAGGAGGCTGTGTCCTGTACAGCCCGAGATAATGTGGTTCTTTCCTCTCCTCCTGGCAATCTCTCTCTGGGAAATGCAGTTCAAAAGCTCTTGATTACAGTAAAGTCTCTCTCCTCTGGACTACAGTTCCCATAGTGCAGTGCTGCCTGACTCAGTCTATTAAACTCTTCCTGCTCAGCAACCCTCTCTCCTCTTGCTGATATAGCTGCTAACCAGTTCAACACCAGGACAGCAGTACATAGAGCAGCTGCAACCACTCACTTTACATCCTTAGCCAAGCACATGGCTACATTTAAAGTGTTACTAAATCCACAACAGTAAAATCAGTCTGTATATGCAGTAAAGCATGCTTGTTATACTCACTGTGGATCCTAAGGGGTTAATCCTCTGCATTGTGTAAAAAGGCCATTTGATCTTGATTGCTCTGTTCCTCCCCTTGTTTAAACGACCACCTCTTATCTCCTGATAAGACAGACTGAACCGTAGGCATTTTGCACATGCTCAGTTTGGTGTGTATTGCTAAAGAGGGTTTTTGTTTCTTGGGAGAGTGCATGTGATCAGCACAGGGCCAATCAGCACTGGTCAGACAGAGGTCATGGGTTTTGCATCCTCCTAGAGCAGAAAGAAAACTCCTCCTACAAGCTTTAGCTAGTGCTTGGCTGAACACTGATAGAAGCCACAATACTGCTCTAACTTCTGGTGAGAAAAGGTATTTAACAGTTTAGATTTACTAAAATAATTGCATTTCCATGTTCTGTGTACTGTGGGAGACCATTGGGTCTCCTAATGGAAATTAGGATCCACTTGTAAGTGGTAATTCTGTTTCTGGACAAGGAACTTTATTATTATATTAGGCAATTCTATGAGAAAGCATTTGTACATGCTAAATTTTAGTTGATGACTGCCATGGAATAAAGTAGCATGGTAAGAAGAGTCCATAATAATCTCAGTATTTGCAGCTGAAATAACATATTGAGGGTTTAGGGGGACATCCTAAATTTCTATTACTGTTGTATTGTTGTAAAATCAATGCAATAATGAAAATAAAAATTGTGTATAAAAGCTGTGAAATATAGTGGTTCGCTTACACTCTACACATACTCATACCATTGTGTCATAGAGAATAAAATCAGAAATAGTGTCACGCTCTGCTACCAATTGCAAAATTTTATGAATAAATAAATATTAAATAAATAATAGTCCACCATCGAAAGAATACATATCAATATCATTGAAATTATATTACTGCTGCAAACATGTCCTTATTAAGTCCGTGACCTTGACACTTCTTCTAGTGCTGTGATACGAAATAATAGCCATGCAGTCCACCAATTATAAAAAATGTATTGTGCACCTTTACCGGTTGTACTCTCACCTGGTGTGTATGACCAAACCATTAAGTGAGTTCATAAAAGGCTTGTGTCCCTTTAATTGGACTTAGTGGTAAATGGATGGGCCTCCTGGCCTCAGAAACCCCTTAAAGGGCCGGGAGGCTCCAGCGTGAAGGGGTTAACTAGCAGATGTATGAAAATAATGCTATTTAACCCCCCTAGTGGTATTCCCGAGTGTAGCTCGGAGTTAACTTTCAATACCAGAAGCGGTAACCCTCGGGATTACACTGCAGCGTTGCTCAGGGATTCCCTCCAGCACTTACCTTGTCCTTTGCTCCCGCAATGTCCCCCCTGCAGCGTCCCCGGCCATCTCTTCTGGCCGATGCCGGCATCCGTCTTCCAGGTTCTGTTCCCTGCGAGCATCGGGACGTACGAGACATACGGGGGACGGAACCGGTGGGAAATTCAACAATGTAAAAATGTGAAATTCACTCAATACACTAAAATCTCATAGTATAACATTACTGTATCAACTGTGTATTACTGTGCCCTGCCTGCATTTTTACTGTTCTTTCTGCCTGGAAACTGAGAAACATCCATGGCGTCCAAAAAGCGTCCCTTTAGGTCAAAAGCGGTTTTAGACCAGCTAGAGAACAGCAATAGTAAATTAGAACCACTTGCAGAATTGAGTGATAATGATTTGTGCGGAAATTCATCACCAGACACTGAAAACGATTTTGCGACTAAGCTCAGTGATGTGCGAACTTGGCGCTCTATATCAAATTTCAGTGTTTTTGGTTTGATTACATTATTGAATTAAATGTATTATTATATTATTATTTTTGATGATTATATATTATATTATAATTTATGATTTTGTGTTTCAAATTTTATCCTACCCGGGATGTTTACTAGACTCTTGTTCAGACAGATTTCAGTGAGTTATTCTTACAAATTACAGGCCTACAATAAACAACAACATATTTCCATGCAAAAAAAGTACAATTTTGAGCACAGAAATACTGACATAATGAGACCGCTAGGGAGGTTAATAGTTAGTCATAGCAAACATTTACCAACCTTGCTTCATTTTCAAATCTAACTGCAGAAATAACAGCTGAAAGCTGATTAATTCATAGAAGAAACAATACATATACAGTATAATATAGCATACTTTTCAAACAACAGCCTCAAGGGTTTAATAGAAGCACACGCAGAATAATAAAGTGCTTTCATAGTGACAGGCCTGCATGGGATTAAATTTTAGTAATGCGGCTCTCTCAACACCAGTGTTGGAGCTTGTCCAGTTACCCCCTTTCCACATTTCTATTGGCCCATTCCTGCAATAGACCACTTCATGGCCAAAATAAATGTGGAAAAGATAAGAAGGCTACTTTTCCAATGCCCACACCTTTGCCAAATCTTTTTCAGAGTTGGGATGTTCAGCCATCTTGATTGGCTGCACCAAGATGACGTAACTTCTGCACATCAGCACAGAAGTTCATTCATCCTAGCACCCAGCAGGCGCTGGGATTGTACAATGAGCTGAGCATGCATAGCTCAGAGTACGTTGTCAAGAAGACTGCAGACAGACAGGTAAGATTTTTTTTTTTTTTTGTAGAAAAGGAAAAGTATATATTTTCTGCAATAAAAAGTATTCACAAATGTTTAATTTCTATGCAAAGATCCACTTTACATTTAAGGCAGATCATTATCAAACGTAGTGAATAGGGATGAGGTTTGGATTTGAGGCTTGTGGTTATGTAGTTCAGCAAAACTCCAAATTTAAAGTAAAAAATTCACGCCTGAATCCACAATTCACTGCATAATTCTTGTCCTTGGTAAAGTGGATCCCTGAGATCCAATAATCTGACAGAATTAAATCAGCCCCCTCATTAGAAAAGGTGGTCTCCCAGCAACCATATTGTCAGTATGTTGCAGCTGACTAGGAAACGCTTACAAATCTGTGTAGGGAGAGATACTTTGCTATAAAGCGCTACAAGGTGCTAAAGGTGCTATACAGCTCTATACTGTAGATAGCAGTGTGGTGCGTTACATACCTTTGCATACCCTATTTTTTTGTGATTTATTAGGGTGTTTTTTGTTCATTTAACATGTTTATTCTCTGCTAGGGTTACGACAATAGTGGGCTTTTGGCTTTGGTGGTTAGTCTTTTAGGGTTTATATATATTTATTGGGGTGAGGAATTGAATATCCTATTTAGGGCAAGGACAAATAGCAATTAGGGCATGTTTTCTAATTTGTGCAATTTATTTTTCCTCTTCCAAAGAGCAGTCAAATACCACCATCTCACAGTTCCTATACACATGAAATTATAAACCAAATCCATTATTTTACACTAAACCCTAAAATATATTACTCAAGCAACAGATGTCCTCCAACAAATGGAGATCTCCCCATGTTGTACTGTATGTACTGTATTTTATTTCTTTTATGCTTTACCAAAAGGCACATTTCTCTATTCCCTTAAAAACTAAAAAAAGAATAATCCCCATGTGGCCATGCTTTACAGAAATCGCATGTCCACAATTTGTTAAAAAATTCACTAATAATATTGAATGAAGTACCAGCCTATAATACCTCTCGATTACCAGCACTGTATTATATGAATTTTGTTTTTGAGACAGATAGAGCTGCTTTTAGTGGCTTTTTTATAAAGAGAAAAAAAGAAATAAAACTGCTACCCTTATTTCTGTAAAAAAAAAAATGCCAGGACAGTACAGAAACCCCCCAAATGATCTTTTTTTGGAAAGTAGACACCCCAAAGCAATCTTATGTTTTGCCACAACTTTTGGAAAATAAACTTGCTGATTAAAACACAGACCTTGGTAAAGGTGCACCAGATACAGCGCAACTAGGTAATACACAGAGGGAGGCAGAGACAAAGGGGTTAATGTACAGGCCACAAACAGGTGGATAATAGAGTTTAAGTGGTTAATGTACAGATGTGCAGGATAAGAGAGGAGAAGGGTTCATATACAGGTAACATAGAGAAACAGGTCAATTTACTCCTGGCAAATAGACTGTTCACTTTGCAAGGGAAATTTCACTTTGCATGGTAATTTGCCCCAGAACATAGTGAATGAGTTGAAACTCTGCTGACTTCCATCATCCAGTTATGTACAAGCACCAATGCTGTTTTTTTTTCCTTGGTATTCTTTGTAGAGTAATATTTCACCACATTCACTAAGTTCTGGGGTAAATTTACTTGCAGAGTACAACTTCCCTTGCAAAATGAACATCCTATTTGCCTTTAGTAAATCAACCCTTTAGAGTGGAGATTATATGTCCAGGAGAAGAAGATGGTGAAAGGGTTCATTATTACAGTTTTTGCTGTGATAGCTACAGTTCTCAGGAACTAATGAATGAGTACCACATTCACTAGTTCTGGTTTCCTTCCTTTTCTCAATTGTAAAAGGATGGGGAGGGCTCTTAGATGTAAACGCACATTGTTTACGTCATGTGATTTAATACAAAGAAAGTGGTGTAGCGCTATCCCAGAGACCTCCGATGTGTACAGCCATCTCATTGTAACCGATTTAGAGAAAGAAAAAAGATCCTCCCATAGTGCAATAAGTTCAACAATTTATTAATAAATGTATAGCCAGAATGCCCACTCACATGTCAAAAAGGAATTCTCAGTATTTAAAACCTCATGGTTTTGTTGTGTGTGTATGCATGGGTGTACCAAAATGGCATCCATGCAGGATATGACGTCACCACACTCCATATGCTGTTCCGACTCGTTTCGTCACAAATCACGTGACTTCCTCAGGGATCACAATACTGACCATTTTCCCTGGTCAGCACGTTTCTCTCTTTCTTTCTTTTTTCCTCTCTGTTCTACTATTCACTATGTATGGTACCAATTTTATGTGTTATAACCATTGCCGGGTTGCATTGTTGATTATGGTTTGAGGACATAGAGGTCTCTGGGATAGCGCTACACCACTTTCTTTGTATTCAATTATGTTCTATCTAGGCATATAGTCCGGTAATAGCTGCTCCCTTTCAATAATCATAAGCAGGTAGCGCGGGAGACTTATCCTTATATACTTCATGTGATTGCTGTGATTGGTCTCTTCGTTATCAATCACAGTGATTGGATAACCTCTGTACATAGTGCCTATAAAAGAGCAATCCAAGGACAGCTCAGTTCTCCAGCATTACGGGTGAAATGGCCACCTAATGGTGCTTTACCCACTGCTGCTTATGAACTGTTCACCGCTTTGCTCCTTTTAAACTTACAGTGGTACAGCAGTGACTAGGCTAAGTAGTTTCAAGATATACATATTAGATCAACCTGAGATTTTGGGCTTCCTAACCATACATAATGCTGTAATAAGGGACGTGCAGGCACATCCAAACTTAAACATGTTTGGAACAAACATATATCTGTACTCAGAAAAAAGGTTAAAAAAAATCAACATGTTCTTCAGGATGCCTGATTTTAGTTATTTTGGCAGTTTTGTATGCTAGATTCACTGACATGTCTACTTCAAGTCTAAAACAGCCTTATGCACAATGTTTTAAATTAGTGGACTTTAAGAGTTCAGATGCAAATATGTTGTGAAATGCCTTGGCAGGAAAGTAGTTGGTCAAACTTTCCCACTAAGCTTCAAGAATGGAAATAGGTACAACTGTGTTGTTTCTAGGGTCACAGAGTTTGTTTTCAGCTCATCACATCACAAATGGTACATTTAGACTAACTATGGCCTCAGTTTCTATTTCCAGTGAAATAGATTTTATACAATACATTATACAAAATGTTTTTCAGTTGTTAAAGTTTGTTTTACTTTCAGTGTGATATGCTGATCGCTACATACATACAGTGCGTAAATTTACTTCCCTTTTAAATGGTGTTTTATTAAACTCAGACTGACTTTGTTTCAGTGTTTCCTAGTCCGGACCAAATGCTATAAATAAAGTGCAAATCCACCAAAAGACGTGACAGTTTAATTATCAACTTTATTTATACAATGCACAGAAGAATATAAAATTACTGGGCACTCTGCCAGTCTATGCAGCAAAGAGGAACTATCTAGTCTGATAATACAGGTTTTGGCTGCATACATTTGAAAATATATGTGGAAGCTGCTGGCAACATTGGGCGCCTCTGTATCTATATCATTGTTGTTCTAAGCTAAAAGAGCACTGACGTGTAGTATTAAATAAACGGAGAGCAGGCTGAGCTAGAGGCCAGTGCATTCTTCCATACAGTGCATGTAGATATAAATTCCAGACCTGCAAAAAAAAGAAGCTGGACGCTTTAACTAACTTAAAGTGGAATTCCACTGTATCTGAGCACCACAAACCAAAAGTAGTATTTAATTCATGTTTAATATTTAAAGCAAACTCACCCATCCGTTCATGTCTCCATGCTTTATTTTGGTGAGAAATCACTTTGAAAAACACCTTCTAGCATTTTTGGCAGTGGCCATCTTGAGTAAGGGCAGATGATTCATGAAGCATTTAGTTCCTGGAATCCATCTTCCCTTAGTGTGCAGGCAGGAGGGTGTTCTTAGCTGAGAAAACCCCTCCTCCCCTTCTGAAAACTCATGGGATGTATGACATCATTTACCTAGGCATGGAAACTAGGAAATAACTAAATAAATATGAAAAACAGTTTAAAACCAGTAAATATGATATACATTCTTATCTATTTACTAATGCTAGCAGCATAAAGTTAAAAATAGTCAATGTTGATT